TTGTTGGTCTAGGGAGTCCAAAAGACTTCCAAAAAAAAAAAGAAAAGGAAAAAAAAAGAAATTAATTAAAGAAAAATAAACAAGTCTTCAGTGGGTGATTTTAATATATCTCAAACTATTAAACAGGGAAATATTAAAATGATTACTAATAATAGAGAATTAAACATATCTACAGTTAGACCGGTGCATTCAATAGTTGCAGAATACCATCTTCAAATACAGGAAATGGGGGGACATTTGATCACAAAGAAAGCCTTGACAAATTTCAAGTGGAAATCACTCAAATGCCCATCAAGAACAAATAAACTGTGAATACTCTTACATATTACTATGTATATTGTGAATGTTAATGAAATACCTATACTGTGAGAAGAAATAAGCCAAAGGCACCCAACATGCTATAAACCACACACACACAAGAGCATCAGTCAGGCACAAACAGAGTTTTATGCTAACTATAGTGTTTAGAGGCCCACCAACAGGTAACAAGACCCCAAAGATACTCCTCTCTTACAGCCACCATGGTGGCTTAGTAAGAGAAAGAAGTAGTGATTAAAGACAGCACAAAAGAAACTTGTAGAAATGTCCCTTGTGACTTGGTGGTAGTGTGTTAGTCTGCTAGGACTGCCACAATTACAACACAGAGTGCCTTAAATGACAGAAATGTGCTGCTCACGGTTCTGCCTGGAAGTCCAAGTCCAAGGTGTCTGCAGGAATGGCTTCCTCTGGGCCTCCTTGACCAGCAGCCCTCTTTCTGCCTCTTCACCTCTGTGCTTCCCCTCTGTGCACTTGCTCCCCTGGGATCTCTGTGTGCTAATCTTTTCTTATTATAAAGACACCAGTCATGGGTTAGGACCCAGCCCAATTGCCTCAGTTTAACATGACTGTTCTTTAAAGGCCGAAGAGCTGGGAATTTGAAGATGTACCATCAACCCTGGGAAAGCAAAGACAGGAGGGCCCTTGGGCTTGGCTGTCTAGCCAGTCTGGCCTACTTGGTGAATCACAGGCCAGTTCAAAAAAAAAGGGTGACCCATATCCTGAGGACCACATCTGAGGTTGTCCTTTATTCTCCATAGGCACAGGTGCAAGCATCTGTGCACGCACGCACTCACCCCTTCCAACACCCATCAACACCAAAGGATCACAGTTGAACTGTGGTACTAGTTCATGGTTAAAAAGAGCACAGTATTTAGAATTAGTTTTGGCCTACCTAAAAGATCGGTCAATGATTGTTATTATATCTCCATGTTTCAGCTGCACAGGCTCATCTATAGTAGCCCCATTCACTTGCGTTGGATTTGTGGAACTGAAATTATACAATATTGCCTGCGAGTGGAGAGGAGAGGAAAATACTAAGGATTTGCTTAAAATCAAATTCAAAAGATTTAAAAGTTGATTTCCAAAACCCACTTACCTCTTGCCCACTGACTTCAATTTTGCAATGTTTTTTGGACACTACAGGCAGTTGGATACGAATGTCACACTCAATACTCCTTAATAATAGTAAAAAAAAAAAAAATGGTAAGGGTTTTTATGGGGGTGTGCAACTTAAAAAAAAACCCTCGAATTTAAACAAACAGAATTTGAGTAATACGCTTAGACTCTAATTGTAATGACACAATAGCACAGTACTGCCTAAGAAGCCATAAATTATTAAAACCTCTAGTACTTCAGAATAATTATATTAAAAAGCACTACAACACATAATCAATTACCTTTCATATAAATAGCTATACTATTGCCAGACAATGGTGGCGCACACCTTTAATCTCTAGGGAGATTAAAGCACTGGGGAGACTCTCACAGGAGGATCTCTGTGAGTTCAAGGCCAGCCTAGTTTACAGAGCTAGTTCCAGGACAGCCAGGGCTACACATAGAAACCCTATCTCAAACAACCAAAAAAAAAAAAAAAAAAAAAAAAAAAGACACAAATAATGGAGTACTTTATTACCAATTTAGGAGAACTTTATAATTAATGTGTTTACAACAATATAAGTATTTAAGGACACAGAAAGGTAGTAGCATAAAATGTGCTGTAGGTAATCAGTGCCTCAGTTTCTTCACACACAGGTCTGTACCAACACCCATGATGCCATTCAGTTAGAGTTGTATGTGCCACTTGCGTATGCGGCACACAGTATATCCAATGAGTTTTTCACTATTATTTCAAAACCACAGCATGTTGACAGATTCAAATATCCTCACATTACACTCCTCCACCAGGCAATGAAAAACAGTATCTAGTTTAGAATAGAAACGCTGTCTAGAAAGTGAGCATTGTGGTAGCACAGCAGAGCAAGGACAGTTCCGATAAACCAGGAGCTTCACCGATAGCATTCGTTCTGAACTTTAAAGGCCTGAAAATACATATTGTTTCCCTGTGAACCTCTACAGCAGTGGTTCTCAACCTTCCTAATCTTGTGACACTTGAATACAGTTCCTCATGTTGTGGTGACCCCCTCCCCACCATAAAACTATTTTCGCTGCTACTTCATAACTAATTTTGCTACTGTTATGAATCGTAATGTAAATATCCGTGTTTTCTGATCGTCTTTTGGGTGGGGGTCGCAACCACAGGTTGAAAATTGCTGCTCAGCTGTTGAAGCATATCACTTCCTAAAAATACCACACAACCAAACATGAATTGTTTTCAACTTTTTTGAAACTTGCAAAAAGTATATTTAATCAATATTGCAGAATAATGAAAATGAATTGACATTTGTGACAAGAGAATATTTTTTCTTTTGAACAACAACAACAAAAAGCTACGGAAAGTGACAGCATCCTTACTCTCAAGAAAATGTAGGCTTTGGGAATCACACCAGACAGAGACTCGATCTTAGAACCCCGTTTTACTGGGCAGAAAAGACCACTACCGTCCATACTTCTTAACCTAAGTGCCACAAACATTCTGGACCAGAGAATTCCGCAACGCCCTGTTCACTGTCAAACACACCACGTCTCTCTGCTCACTCAGTGATACTGGCTACAGACACCTCTCCCAGGGTGACATGATAAGATGTCACCAGACTTTGCCAAATGTCTCCCTGAGAACTACCATCCTCAACTGACCCCCAAATCCACATCTCCCTCTTCCTGCTGGACGCTCGCCCTAGGTCACACACCGACTGAGGTCTTAAGTATCAGGCACCATATGGGACGCTGGGGGAATGTAATCATTAACAAGGCAGCCCTTGCCTTCGAGCTTAGTCTATTGGGAAACAGACAAACAAAAAATCTAAAAACCAGTCACCAACCTGCATGGTGTTAGGAAAGACGAGCTTTCTTTAAAAGCACCTTCTCGGGTAACATTTTAAAATCGGCAGAAAGGGCCACAAGGGTCTAACTGGGCAAAAGCGGCAATGCCAAGCAACCGCCTGGAAGGCTTCAGGGAGGAGGGTTATTATCCGACCCACGGAGGAAGAGAAGGGGGGAATTCTCCTAGGGCACCCCGACAGGGCTCTCCTATCTTCATGTTTCCAGAACATCTGGAGCCACAGCCGGCTGCCTCAGAGCCGCAGTGCAGGAGCGGCGTGACACTGAAGTCAGCTTGGCGCCCGCCAAGTGTAAAATCCCGGTTCCATCCGGGAGGCTCCCAGTCCCGGAGCACGACTTCCGAACGTCTTACAGGGGCAGCCCCGCCAAGCGGCCCGGGGTCACCCCGGTCCCTCCGCGCGCGCGCGCGCCCGCGCTCACCTTCCGAACAGGCAGGAGCTGAGGCTCAGCGGGAAGTGCGCGCCGTCGTCGCCGCTCCGCTTGATGGTGACCAGGCGAGCCGAGGACGCCATGGTCCGCCCGGCCGAGGGCGGAGTGGCCTCCCGGTGAAGCTCGCCGTGCCCCCTCGCCAGTCAGCGCTGGTCAGCCTTGGCCGCGGCTCACCCGGTCCAGTCCGCGTCAGAGCCGTCGGCTCCTCGGCCGCGGCGATCGGACCACGGCCACCCGCGTCCTTTGCTCCGCCCCGACCCGCACACCCGCCGC